ACCCCAAAACCCCCCCCCCCCCCCCATGAGCAGATGTTACCAGTGGTACCACTACTTCTAAGCAGCAGCGTGTCCTTACCAAAAAGATTTGCAAGAATGTTTGTGGCCGAGGACCTAAGGTACTTGCTATAGAGATGTGAGATCAGAGGTCAGCTCAATCCTGCAACATAAAGGTGGCAAACCTGGGTCACAGCACATCAGCAGCATGGTTGGGGTATGTGGAGTCACAGAGAGGGATGGCACTGCTGAGGGGGAAGGATGCAGAACTGGAGCTTAGCTGGCAGCAGCCCTGCCTCTTACACCACCCGCCAGGCCTGAAATGAAAAGCTGCTGATGCTGCAGTGAAGATGTAAAGGGGAAAATAAGCCAGCAACAAAGCAAGACAAACAAAATCATGAAGCTGCCTTAAAGAAACGAACAACACAAATATGGAAGAGGAGAAAATAAAGGAGCAGTAGGAAAACCTCATCTGCCAATGGCCCTCTCTGTGGAATGCTGTTGAGAGCCTCCAAAGGACACGACAATGTCCATCAGTTCTAGGTGCACTGGTCCTGCCCTGGGACCACTCCACACAGACATGAGTAGCGATGCCTGCGAGGTCCCACATGCCCAGGAAGAGCCTGTTCTACTGTCCTGAATACAAACCCCATTGCTGTCCACAGGCAAATGTCCCCTTGGTGTCCCCAGGTGACAGCAGGCGCATTTGCTGCCACAGAGGAACCAGCCAAGGCCCTACAGCCCTGACAACCTGAGTAGTGGTTGCTCAGCTGGTTGGGATGGAGCTGCTGGTGCAAAGGGTTTGAATTTGCCTGCTGCTGCAGGTAGATCTTTGCACTAGTGCTTAGAAGGATCCTAAAAAGCAATTCCCAGCGGGCTCCATGTGTTCCTCTCACATTCCCTCAGTTCATTCCACCATCATCCTCCCCAAGTGAAAAATACAGCACCACTAACAGACCTACTTAGAGTTTTACAGGTTGGGGGCTTCAGACATGATAAAGATAGAACAAAAGGAAGAAAGCAAACACCATTTTTCCTGGTGCCATTGCACCAATGCAGAATTAACCCCATGCCAGAGGAAACTGGAGCTCCTTTCTGTGGCTGCCCCCAGAGCACACAGTCCTTGCAGATCTTTGCTCCTGTTGGTGCTACAAGGCAGGTGAAGCCCAAGATTTAAGGACAACTGGGAGCCCAGAAGCCAGGGGAAAAAGGGAAGACATCTCTTGCTGGGAAAGTGGATTTGATGTGGAAAGAATGGCTGCAGGCCATAGTGAAGGCAGCGTGCACCGAACCCATGCACCCCCTGAGCTTTTCCCAGGACCAGAGTGAGTGTGTGTCAGTGCCAGCCCCTGGGCAGGTCTCTGGATTTAGGCTCCATACCACAACACCCTGCTCATGCCAAAGCCAGGCCAGCGCAGCCACTGGCACCACAGATATGCACCAGGGCCTCAAAGCAAGGCTGGCCAAAGCAAACCTGACCTAGGGACGAGGTGCCATTCATCCTTGCCTTCCCTGCTTGGGTTTTCCACTTGCTCTGTGTCAGGCTGTCATGTTTAAGCTCACCACACCAGCTGTAATTGCACCACAGCATCACAGGCAAGGGGTGACAAATTACCCCAAATCATTCTAGGAGGTACACACCACTGGGGGGTAGAATTGGGTCCTACAGTCCTTGAGACAGCAACAGAGAGAACATCATCTCCCAGGCTTGCTGAGCCACCACTGCAGAGGAAGGAGTATGGGGTATGGGCTGCTCACATCTGCTAGGGAGCAGTCTGCCATGGAGCCTGCTTGTAGGGCAAAGCCCTTGGTTGTGTGGTTTGACAGCTCTGGTTTAGCGTGGGCTCTGCATGCCCATGGGATGAAGGATTCTCTCTGCACATGGGCAGACTTCACACTGGCAGCACAGACTGGCTTCAGACAGGGGTTTACAGCTTGAGATGCAACACTGGTGTTGAGTTCCCTTGAACAGGCTGGGAAATCTTGAGCTAGAAAGCTTGGTTTTGGTAACAGGACAGGCTCTTCCTTTCTTCATGCAGGGCTCAGGAGGAAACCTTAGCAAAAAGTATGCGATGGGCAATTCTCCATCTCTACCAGGCCCAGTACTTGGCAAATCCCCACCACTTCCAGCTGAGAAGCCAGCCCTGGGTGCAGACACTTCCAGTCTCAGCCCCATCACAGTGAACTCTAAAGCTCCACACTCACTCTGCTCCAGTATTTCTGAGCTATGCTCATGTCCTGGCTTTGGAGGGCATCCACAGGGTAAAGGGAGGGAAGTAGTTAGAGGTCAGGTCAACAGATGTAAATCAACATGGTGCTAATGGGATCAGGAGAACTACACCGTCTTGCATCAGCTGGAACATTGGGTCTAAGCATGCAGAGAGGGAGCCTGAGCAGCTCCAAAGGTGTATAGGGCCACAGTGTCTCCATTTCCTCAATCAGCATGACTTTATTTGTTCTCACATCTTCCTGAGTGGGAGAGGTCTGGACCACTGAGACCTTGAGCCCAAGGCTGCCAAGGCAGTATGGGGAGAGAGGTCTGACCAGGTCCAGCCTGACTGAAGAGGGTGCCTTGGGCAAGAATTAAAAGGAAACTCAATGTACCTTTGTTCTTCCTCGAGTTCTTCTTTGGTCATCATTGACTTGTACTGGTTTCCCCTCAGCTTTCCAGGACTGTATTTAAAAGAGAATGTCTCATCTGCAGCTGGGGAGGAGGAGAGAGAAAGAAGAGCAAGAGATCCCGTGAGCCAGAGACCTCCAGGCACAACAGTCTCCAGCCCTGAGCTTGTTCCCTCTGAATGGTCTCTGCCCCCTGCTCCTCCACATGCATCCCAGACACCATGGACAGCCAAACCCACTTCCTCATTTGAGTCCAACCATTCCCAGCACTGCCAGGGCCACCACTAACCCCTGGCACTGAGGCCTCAGCTACACGGGGTGTGAACACTTGCAGGGACGGTGCCTCCAGCACTGCCCTGGGCAGCCTGTTCCAATGCCTGAGCACCCTCTGGGCAAGGAATTGTTCCTCAGCTCCATCTAAACCTGCCCTGGTGCAGCTTGAGGCCATTTCCTCTTGTCCCATCCCTTGTTCCTTGGGAGCAGAGACCACCCCCCTCCTGGCTCCATCCTCCTGTCAGGCAGTTGCAGAGAGCAATAAGGTCCCCCCTGAGCCTTCTCTGCTCCAGACGAAAACCCTCAGGTCCCGCAGCCTTTCCTCATCACACTTGTGCTCTAGGCCCTGCACCAGCTCCATTGCCCAGCACCTAAATGTCTCTCCTGTCATGTGGGGCCCAGAACTGAACACAGGATGGAAGTCCCTCCATCACCAGCCAACAGACCTGAAGAGGAAACCAAGGTCTCCTTCTCCAGGCCTGGGTGCTCTCCTGCCCTGCTCACCAGCCTCAGCCCTGTGCTAATTACAGCACCAAAGCTCACAGACTCTGAGCCAAAGCCGATCCTTTTCCAATCGGATTTTGTTTGAGCACTATTTGCTCTCCCCTGCTTTATCTTCCTGCAGATGGGAGAAAACAAGAGGAGTGGAGGTCAATCCAAAGGGCAGCCCAGGAACAGCGGCTGTTTCAGGTAGTTGCCTTTATTGGTTATCTGTGAGCCTTTATCTCCCAAGGACTGCAGGACTCACATCAAGCCATCCAGCATTGCTGCTTCCACATGCTCCCAGAAACATCTGCTGCTTCCACCGACCCTGAGAGCCCTGGGGGTACTTCTCAGCGCTCCACAAAAGGAAGATGTTGTTGTATTATCTGCATGGCCCTGAAGAATTGCATGTTATCCACAAACCAGATAGCCAGGATGACACCTCACAGCACCAGCAAGACCCCAACACAGGGGAAACTCCCCTGACTCCTGTGCAAGGAGAGAAAGCTCAAACTTGTACATAATCCATGGACATATCCCCTGTCCCCAGCCACGTAGGAAGCACCCTCCAATCCTCACTTCCAATCCCACTCAGCACTGTGCTGTGTAGGCATGAGCCTGTGAGGTGTTGCTGTCCTAACTGGGCACCTCCTGCGGGTGAGGAAGATGAAGGGCTCTCCAGTGTGCCCTCAAAGCCTGGCTCACATGGATGCAGTTAAGTGGTCTCTGGCAGCGGCTCTTCAAACCTCCTTTGAGGTTGAAAGAGGTTAGTGGGGATTTGTGCAGTTAGAAAGGAGCGTGATCAGGTGTGTGTCGAGCACTGGCAGCTGCAGCAAGGCTCCTTTCATAGGAAAAGAAAACAACTGGGCAAACAACTGTTTCCCGCTGCTGTTGTGGGGACCACATTCATGAAAGCCTCTCCTCTTCCTCCTGCCCAAAGGAAAACCACCCCACAGCCCCTATCTTTACTCCCTCACACTCACAAGTACTGAGCATCAGCAGCTTCCTTCTAGTTTCATAGAATCGTATCAAATCCTAGAACTGTTTAGGTCTGAAGGGACTTTAAAGCTCATCCAGTTCCAGTCCCTTTAAGGATTTTCTCCCTGTGTCTGAGGTCAGGCACTTCATTTAGCCCCAGGCTTGTGCCAGAGCTCCCGCAGACCTTGGGGACCCCCACACAAGAGCCAAGTCAGAGCCTCATTTCCTAGCTGGGGAAAGCTGGGATCTCAAGAACAAGCTGTGCAAGGCCACAGGCTCCAGACAGAGCGGCAAGGTCAGTGCTGCTGGTGTACGCAGTGTGCCCAGCTCCTGAACAGAGCCTTCTCCCTGCACATAGCCACATTTTCTCCCTTCTCCTCTGCATCTCCATGTCCCTGATCTTGGGGAGCTTCCCTACAAATCCCTGCTGGATTACTGCTCACTGATCCAGAGGTTCACTAATCCCCAAACACCATCCCTGGGGAACAAAGACAAACCCTTTCCCTAGCACCTTCCCAAGTGTCCCAACACAAGCACACAAATGCTCTGGTCCTGCGGCCCCAAACATTCAGCTCGGCCATATCCCACTTCCCCCGGCAGGAAAACATTCTCAATGAGCAGACAAACAAGTCTGGCCAGCTGGAAACTGGGAGTAATGCAGCAGCTTATCAGCCCTTCAGGTGGCCAGAAAAGTGCATGGAAAGAGAATTCTGGCTGGCTGCTGCTTTGGAGGTATTAAGAGGAAGAAAAAAAAGGAGAGGGTGTAACATCCTGTTTCTTACCCTGATGCAGAGCAGGAGCTGTTTCATTACCTTTGTATAGCTTGCCTGATTTCAAGGACAATTCACATCATTTCCCTCCCATGTTTTTCTGCCAAGTGAATTGAGATTTGGGCTTTTGCCTGTCCCGAGAAGGGCAGTTTAACTACCATCCCACCAGGAGAGAATAAGGGAGGAGGGAGATGAGGAAGCCACCCATCTCCCTGCCCACATGTTGTGGTTAAAAAAGGAGCCAGTGTGTGGCTTTGGAAACCACTGGTTGTTTTCTGAGCTCAGAAACTTTCTTTGCAGACCAAAAACCAGCTTCAGGAAACACATGGGAAAGGGGAGGTTGGATCTTTATGTCAAGCACAAAACCACAACAGAAACAAGTGACCTACTTTGAGCCTCTGAGTTTGTATTAAAAACATTCGTGTTTCATCCCTCTGCCTGAGCTGGTGGAAGCAACCCCTTTCCTCTCAACATCATGCTCCCTGCCAGCTCCCAGCCAGACTTGGTACCCCAAGTGGGGACAGGGGGCCACCACAGCAGCATCCTGGCCTGGTGACACACTGCCTGCATGGTCCCCATGGTCTCTACTGTGCAGCAGTTTGAGTTGGGCCAGGACCATGAGGCACAGGAGAGACAGAAGGAAGGAGTGAAGTTGTTCCCTACCAAAGCCAGGGCACTGTTGTTATTCCCACCACTTGCCTCCTTGTCAGGCTGAGCCATCTCTTTACCCATCCCATTATACAACCCTTCAGAAATGGTGTAAATAATTCAGGGGAGGAGTCGGTGGCTGTCTGCAGGAGATGTTGGGGGAGCATGCTGGGCTTTGCCGTGACTCATGGATAGGGACTGTCACCTCCTTCCAGTCCCAAGCCACAGCCACTTTGGGATGATGCACAGTAGTGCTGGAGCAGCCCTGAAACAGCTGAACTGAAGGAGGCAGAGCAGCACTACAGAGCATCCCTTTGGCAAGGTGCGTCCGTCACTCCTCAAGCCAAGTCCTGCATGGTAACACGCCTGATTACCAGTGCCTAAGGGCTCTGGTATGGGTAAGTGTCTTGTGGGAACCCCGTCTCCGAAGGTGCTTCCCCCACCTTGTGGGCACAGCCCAAGGATTCGGATTTGATTCTCTGTGGCACTAGGGATAATCCGCCTGAGCCAGGGGATTGCCCACAAGTGGGAAGTGGGGTAGAGAAGGGGGAACACCCCAAGCTCCACGGCTGCCCCAGCCACCCTGAAGGGGGTTCCTGGGCACATTCTAGCATCTCTGCTCAGGAGAGCAGCATCCCCTCTAGACACACACACTCCTGCCTGGCACCATCTGCTTAATTCTCGCACAGCACAGCAGTTGTCACTACAATTAGTCAATTAATCATTTTCCAATCAACTAATTGGCTCATCAGTTAAACAGGGCTCTGACTAAAGCCCCTGGAGAGCATCCTGGATGTGAGCAAAGAGCTTCTGGGGCAGCTTCATCACAAAGCCTCCCCCCATGGCGTACAGACCAAGGGCATGTGGGGAAGCAAAGGGTAGGAATTTCCTCTCCACTTCCTGAAGGAAGGAGACTGTCCCCAAGGACTTGGGGCTTCAGCCCCTCAGACCCATCTGTAGCCTCCCAGCCTCATCTGTGCTGGCTTGCTTGGCACTCACCATCCTCATCCTCCGGCTCTCTCACCACCAGCTTCTCATTCTCTGAGTTCAGATCTTCCTCCTGAAGGAGTTAAAACCAGAGCAGCTGTGAGGAGAAGATGCTGTGCTGAATAACCCCTGCTTGGTCAGGTCAGGGAGGCAGAGCCCAGAGCTCCTGTGGTGAGGGCTGGGTACCCCTTCCCTGCCTCCTCCATGGAACAGGCCTGCTCTCCTGGTGTCCCCTGGCACAGCCTTGTGCCCCAGCACCCTCATGGGCTGCCCCACCACCAGCAGTAAGTCATGCAAACTGCAAGCAGCGAGGGAGAGGAGTGCTCCAGCTCTGGAGGTAAGACAAGGACACATGGCAATGCCCTCGTGTATGTGCTTTCCTCCTGCAAAGCACCCTGTAAGCCAAGCCTGGAGGCCAACAGCACCCTGGAGGACCCATCCTGCACCCGCTCTTGCTCCGGGCATCCCATTCAAAGTAATGGGGTTGGTGCACAAAGGGCAAAGTACGGGGGAGAGAAGGGAAGGAGCATGGAGCCACCACACTACAGGGGGGACATGGGAAAATGTGGGATGAAGGAGACCTGAGGGAAATGAAGATGATCCAAGCAGGACCCTGCAGAGAGCTGAGCTTTGCAGGGCAGGGCTTTAGATGAACTGCTGCATCACAGCACACAGCCTGGCCCAGAACTGGGCGAGTTTGTCATCAGTGAGGAATGTGCATTATTCTCAGGCATTTGGCTTCTTCTCACCAGCCTCCTCTGGGCGTCCCCAAAAGGACATGTCACTGAGACCCCCACCTCCTGCAGCCACACTTCCAAACACGGGCACTTCCCACCGGACACACAGGCTCTCCCCTGGGAGGGCTGGGAGCTGGGAAGCACCCAAAGGAGCAGCCTCAGGGAGGGAGCAGGAGAGGATGCTCAGCCCTGGCCCTGGGGACTTGGCCAAGAGCCCAGGACAGCAGCTCCCCATTGAATCTGTCTCTCCCTATGAGCCAGGATGTCCCACGGGAGACCCAACCCCCCAGGAGCTGGCACAAGAAGGGATATTTTAGGCTGTTCCCTGCCTGGGCATTAGGAACTGAGCATTTCTGAGCATTTAACAGAGGAAGCAAGTAGGAAATGCGGGTCCCAAACTCCAAGGAAAGACAATTCTTCCCCCAGGATCCAGATGTTGCTTCCTGCACATCCCGGCAGCCCATTTTCACCTGGAGCTGTTTCTCTCTGCTCTAAATGGACTAAGCCATTCAAAGCCCACCCAAATACACACACCCCCACCCGCAGGGTAGCAGAACAGGCAAATTTTGCACCCCCCATCCCCACCATGGCCGCTGCCACTCCGGGACGATGTCCCACCCATGCAGGTTGTGCCACCCTCCCCAGGCCACCTCTCTGTCCCACACACCTCTGCCTTGCTGGAAAGTGCTGCATGGTCTCCTGCATCCTCCACTTGTCCCATGTGCCCGAGGCTGGACCCGGCTGAGGCACCCAAAGGTGATATCTGGAGAGAGAAGCTTTGAGCACAAACAGCCCTGAGCCTTCCCCATGCTCAGCAGCATCAGCACACAGGAAGAAATCCCCAGATGTGGCCCTGCCCTGGCGCCTGAGCCCATCTTGCCTCTGATCCATGGTGTTGCACGGGGTGAGGGACACCACAGAACGTCACTGCCCAGCCCTGGAGCCAGGGTTTGGACCTACTGAGCTGCCCTTTGCCTGCAGGACCAGGACCCCTGCAAGGAGCCACTAGTGATGGAAGCAGCTCAGCCTGGCAGGGCTGGTGCAGCAGCTCAGGGTTAGCAGGAGGGGAGAGCAGAGGAACTGCACACTGTGGTCTGTTAATGCCTGTAGGGCCTGCTCTGCCTGAGCTGCAGGGTAATAATCCCTCAAAACCCTCTTGTACCCCCACTGGAATCCCAGAGCTGAAGTCTCCCTGCCCTCAAAGCCTTCCTCCCCCTGCCCTCTCCCAACACTTGTCAGCTGAACTTTTCCCTGCGCTGGGAGCGGCCTCTGGGCTGGCTTCAAAACCGGCATCCCAACACCAGCAGGGAGCCTGCCCCAAAGGTCAGGGCTCCTGAGCCCTCCTATGGCTGGTGGGTGCTGCTGTGTTGGCTCCATCAGCCATCGGGCAAGAGCAGCTGAGCTGGGGCTGCTGTGTGCAGTGGGATGCTCTGTGAGAGGAAGGCAGCCAAAACATGGAAGGGAGGGTGTTAGGGCAACACTGAGAGATGTGACAACCAAAGAGGCCATTCCAGCACCCCAGGCACTACTCTTCTGCAAGAAACACAGCCCAGGGCAGTGCAGGGAGACTTGAGCGGTGGGGAGTGAGGGAAGTGAGGACCAGAGCCAGATGAGCTGCTGGAGAATCACAGAATCAGTGAGGTTGGAAAAGACCTTTAAGATCATCAAGTCCAACCGTTCCCAGCAGTGCCAAGGCCACCACTAACCCCTGGCACTGAGGCCTCGG